GGGGTCAAGGGGCCCCTTGACTCTTAAGGCCTTGTCTTTGCCTCTAAGGCCATGGGAGACTGTGGGGGGCCCCCTGGGGCCCCTTGGAGGTCTTCTGGGGCCCCTCGGAGGCCCCTTAGGGACCCCTCAAGACCCCTTGACCCATAGGGTACTCTTGGGGGCCCCGGGGCCCCCAAGGGGGCCCCTAGAGAGTACCCGGGGCCCCCAATGGGGCCCCCAGGGGCCCCAAAAATTGGGAGGCTTTGGGGCCCCCACAGCATCAGGGGGCCCCAGGGGGCCCCCTAAATTCGGGAAGGGGCCCCCTAATAGTCTTGGGGGGCCCCTGCTGCTTTTTACCCTTAGGGAAGCTGCAGCAGCTGCAGCAACTGCAGGAGCAGCTGCAGCAACTGCAGCAGCAGCTGCAGCAACTACAGCAGCAGCTGCAGCAAGTGCAGCAGCAAGTGCAGCAGCAGCAAAAGCTGTTGCAGAGAAGGACCTTTGTTTTGGCTTTCTTGTCGCTCAAGCTTAGGCCTGTAGAGAAGTTGCGGCTGAGGGTTTAGGGTTTAGGGTTTAGGGTTTAGGGTTTAGGCTAGGGTCTAGGTCCTCTAGGCGCAAGCAAATGAAGCAGCAGCAGCAGCAGCAGCAGCTGCTGCTGCTGCTGCTGCTGCTGCACTTATCGCTTGTAGCTCAGCAGCAAATAGTCCAACATTCAGAAGCGACGCGTTGGGGGCCCCCCAATGGGGGCCCCTTAAAGGGGGGCCCCCAGAGGAGGCCCCTAAGGGAGTTGGCCCTAATGGGGCCCCCTATGGGGGCCCCCGGGGGCCCCCTTAGGGGCCCCCATTAGGGTCCTTTAGGGGGCCCCCTAAGGGGGCCCCCGGGGCCCCCCAAAGCGCCCCAAAGGGCCACCTGAGGGGCCCCCAAAGGGGGCCCCTCTAATGACCCTCAGGGGGCCCCCGGGGGCCCCGTAGAGGCCCCTCGGGGGCCCCCAAGGGGGCCCCTGTAGGGGCCCCAGGGGCCCCATTAGGGGCCCCTTAGGGGCCCCTTAGGGGCCCCCAAGGGGCCCCCAAAAGCGGAGAGCCTTGGGGGACCCCGAGGGGTCTTAAAGGGCCCCTGGGGGCCCCCAAGGTTACGAAGCTGGGGGGCCCCCTAGAAAGGGGGGGCCCCCCTTGGGGGCTGCAGGGGGTCCCCCGGGGGCCCCCCAAGGGGGCCCCTTAAGGGGGCCCCCAGGGGCCCCCCGGGGGCCCCCCTGGGTCTTAACTCTAAACCCTAATTGGCTGAAGGGCTTAGGGGCCCCCAAACCCTCAGGCCAGAAGGGTTTAGGGTTTGGCTAGGAGGCGAGCACCTTCCCCTGCTGCTGCTGCTGCTGCTGCAGCCGTTCCAGCCGCTGCTGCAGCAGCAGCAGCAGCAGCAGCAGCAGCAGCAGCAGCAGCAGCAGCAGCAGCAAATTAGAAGAAGAAGGAGTGTTCTCTTTGGAATCGGAATTTGACTTTTTGCCGCAAAAGGGCCAGGCCATTGCCGAGGGCCTCTTCTGTCTTAGCAGCAAACTCTTTGTGCTGCTGCAGCAGCAGCAAATATGCTGCTGCTGCTGCTGCTGCATGCTCTTCTATGTTCGACACGGGGGGACTCGCCAAAACCCCCGTGCCCCCCAGCCCTGCAGCGCACGCTAGGGTTTAGGGTTTAGGGTTTAGGGTTTGGGGTTTGGGGTTTGGGGCTTCAGACTTAGGGTTTAGGGTTTAGGGTTTGGGGTTTGGGGCTTCAGACTTAGGGTTTAGGGTTTAGGGTTTAGGGTTTGGGATGGGGTTTGGGCCCGGCAGCTGCTGCGCAGCTGCAGCGGGGTGGGGGCTCTCGAAGTCTGGAGTGAGGGTTCAGGGTTTAGGGTTTAGGGTTTAGGGTTTAGGGTTTAGGGTTTACCTGAGCTTCTGCTTTGCAGCTCCATGATTTCATTCAAATGGTCTCTAAAGTCCTCAACAACATGCAGCAAATCAAACAGCCGCTGCAGCGACAGCAGCTGCTGCTGCACCTGAACGCCAAATTAGGGTTTAGGGTTTAGGGTTTAGCGGTTAGGGTTTAGGGTTTAGGGTTTAGGGTTTAGGGTTTAGGGCGCGTCTGCAGCTGCCGCTGCCCGGCGCACCGTCTCTCTGCTGCAAGACCCCTAAACCCCAAACCCTAAACCCCAAGCCCCAAGCCCCAAACCCTAAACCCTAAACCCTAAACCCTAAACCCTAAACCCTCGCACCTGGGGGTCCTCCTGAAAGGGTTTAGCGAGGGTTTCCAGCCGCTGCAGCTCTGCGTCCCAAATGGCCCCATTGAGGGTCAAGGCAATGCTGTCTCCCCAGTTGGCAGCAAGAAGGGTGTCTTCTAGCTGCTGCAGCTGCTGCAGCAGCAGCAGCTGCTGCTGCTGCTGCTGCTGCTGCTGCTGCTGCTGATTGGGCGGGCTGCATGCAGACAGGCTCCCCATGTGCATCAACACGGGGTGCGGCAACGAGCTGCTCAGCAAGTCGCAAATGCTGCTGCAGCTGCT